TATAATTTGTATTCAGAGGGTTTAAATGTGGTCGGAGGTGTTTATACAAAACGATTAATCTACAATGTTGGTAATGTAACATGATGATGACATGTTTCAATTGAATAGGCTTATCTGAAACGAGACGATCTCAGAGGCCAACAATTGTAGTGCCGCAAAGTTTTGAGGGGCATTGCTTCTGACCTCGTTACTCAGAGACATTAGTCGACAAATCCCATAAGACGGTAATTTCACCAGCACTCTTATCCTTCAAAACCGGAACACAGTTATGCTGACATTACTGCTTGGCGGCAGAAATAGGTAAGGATTAATTGTGTTTATGAAGAGCTTTATGAGACATAAGTGTAGCTTACCGTCTTACGATGATAAAAACCTAAAAAACCCGACATAAAAAATCTGTAAGAAACTCAAAAAGAAATTCGTAAGCTCTGCTGACATGATTTGTAGCTCAGTTAGTAGACCTAGGGCTAGTTTGGCATATAGACGCAAGTTAGAGTCCAGTTAGATCGAAAGAATTTCTTTTTAACCGACTGTAAAGCCCTAAAAACAGGAGGACGTTCATAATTCGAATGTTTTTTTGTTACTTCGTCATTTGTGATTCGATGTTTTCTTTTGTTGGAAAGGGGGCACCTCAATAGTGGTCCCATCCAGAGTTGAAGAAAATATTCCACCTCTAAGGATGGTAAATTATAATAATACATCTGTAGCTGGGGAACAACAGTACAAGTATTTGAGGGCTTGGGTAAATGAAGCAAGGGAATCTGATCAGGAAATCAAGACCCGGATAGGAATTGCTCGAGCCTCTTTTAACAACGTGAGGAAAGTCTGTGTTGTCGTAAACTGACTATGAAGCTCCGAGTCAGGTTACTTTTATGTTACATCTGACCTATCGTCATGTACGGCTACGAAACGTAGACCTTAAAAGAAGACACTACAAGACGCCTGCAGGCATTTGAAATGTGGTGCTACCGTCGCATGTTTAGCTTCAACAATCACCAGGTGGCTAGTTCGTTCAGCAGAGAAAAAGCTATTCACGGCGGCTCTTTAATTCTTATTAAAAATAATTTAAAATTTAAAGAACGTAAAGATATTGTGAGCCTATCTATTGAGCGGACTATAGAGATATCCTGCATAGAGCTTGAACGGCTTGTTATATTAAGCGTGTACAGACCCCCTCATTCATCTTACGAACTATTTGAAAAAAGATTAGATGAAGTTTTAGCCAAATTAAATAATATAAATAAATATATTGCTGTTTGTGGTGACTTCAATGTTAACTTACTAGAAGATTCCAGTGCTAGCAGTAGGCTCATATCATTTTTCCAATGTTATAACCTTGTGAATCTTTTTTTGGTGCCTACTAGAATAACTTCTACTACTGCCACTTGTTTAGACAACATTTATACCAACGCCGTACCTAGTAATAAATCTATTATAAATAAATTAACTTCAGATCACTGCGGTCAATTGGCCACTTTTAATATAACTGTTGACAAAATGCCGAAAAAGGATATCACATGTGTTCCGATAAATAATGGTCGACTTAAAGCTTATAGAAATAACGTAATGCTTAAACTAACTGACATTCCGTACGTTAACGATCCCAATAAATTGTATAATTCAGTTTTCAACATAGTGAAAAGTGAACGTGATAATGTTTTTAAGTCCAAAATCATAACTATTAATAATTCATTGAAATTTAGTGAATGGGCGACTGTGGGAATTCACAAAAGTAGACAAAGGCTGTATGATCTTTACGATGAAAGAACTTATAACACTAGTAACAGTTTTAATGATTTTGTTAGGAAATATTCGAAAATGTTTAAACGTGTTTGTGTGGCAGCCAAAGCAATGTTTATTAATAATAAAATAAAAAGCAGCGCGAATGTAGTAAAAACGACTTGGAATATTATAAATAGCGAAACTGGAAGGGTCAAACCTCGTAACTTAGATTTTCAACTAAGATTTAATGACAAAATTGTAAACACAGACGCAGAAGTTGCTAAAATATTTGAAAATTTTTTTACCAACATTCCAATTTTGACTACTAATTCGTTAAATTCATCTCCCATGGCCGCTGAATCCTTACTAAAAGAAAATAATGCAGTTAGTATCACTAATTTAAGGTTCCGTCATGTATTTCCAAACGATATTGTTAAGGCCTTTAAGTCTATAAATATAAAAAATACTGCTGATCTTGATGGTCTTTCAGTCAGAGTAATTAGTTCTATAGTTGATTGTATTGCGCCTTACTTAGCCTGTGTCTTTAATAAATGTGTTGATGATGGTGTCTTTCCTGACCTCATGAAGCAAAGTAAAGTTATTCCACTTTTCAAATCTGGTAGTATTTCTGACCCCACCAATTTCAGACCTATATCAATACTACCAACTCTCAGTAAAATATTTGAAAAAATTATTCTAAATCAGATGTGTGCACATTTTTATAGTAATAATTTAATGTCTCCTAAACAATTTGGTTTCACTCGGGGTCGCTCTACAACCGACGCTGGTGTAGAGTTGATTAATCATATATTTGATGCATGGGAAGTCTCACATGATGCTATTGGTGTATTCTGTGACCTTTCCAAGGCTTTTGATTGTGTGCACCATGATACACTGGTCAGGAAACTTCGCCATTATGGTGTGGCGGGACGTGATCTCGACCTTCTTAAATCGTATTTGCGTGGTAGGGTACAGAGGGTCGATGTTAACGGTACGAGATCGTCAGGGTCTGTAATTAGCATGGGTGTCCCTCAAGGTTCAATTCTAGGCCCATTTTTGTTTTTAGTTTATATTAATGATTTACCTAGCCTTATGGAGGGTATAAAACATGAGATAGTATTGTTTGCTGATGATACTTCCTTATTATTTAAAGTTAAAAGGCACCAATGTTCCTATGACGATGTGAACAATGCTATATCTAAAGTAGTTGATTGGTTTGCTGTTAATAACCTACTTCTTAATGAGAAAAAAACAAATTGTGTGAAATTTACATTACCCAATGTTAGAGAGACGGTTACAAACATTGTAGTTAGAAACGAAAAATTGAATCTTGTGGATACAGTTGTATTTCTAGGTATAACGTTAGATGCTAAATTGCAATGGGGTCCCCATATAAGTAAGTTGTCAAAACGGCTCAGCTCTGCAGTGTACGCGATTAAAAAAATAAGGAAACTTTCAGACGTCGAAACCGCTAGATTGGTTTACTTCAGCTACTTTCACAGTCTAATGACATACGGCATTTTGCTTTGGGGTAATGCCGCCGATATCAATAGAATCTTTGTCCTGCAGAAACGTGCAGTTAGGGCAATTTACAATCTGGGCCCCAAAGTATCTTTGAGAGATAAGTTTAAGGAAATTAACATTCTTACACTAGCCTCACAATACATTTATGAAAATATAATTTATGTTAAAAGGAATAGTAATTTCTTTATGAAAAATAGTGACAGACATAACATTAATACGAGGAATAAAAATAAACTAGCTTTTCTTGATAGTCGTCTTCACAAAGTCAAACAATCATTTAAGGGGCAATGTATACGCTTCTATAACAAGATTCCGGTTGATATACAAAATTTGCCTTTCACGAGGTTTAAAACTATAGTGAAACAAAAACTTTATACTAAAGGTTATTATACAACTTCTGCGTACTTGGATGACAAAAATCCGTGGTAGTAACCCGTTTAGCTCATGGAGGTAGTCTCAATCTGATGTTTCAAATAAAAAAATATTGTAAATGTTATTTACAAAGAGCAACCCCTAGAGTTTCTTGCTCATTCTTCTCAGGGGAATCTGCCTTACGAATGAGCGGTAGAGTTTAACCATTGTGACGATTTCAAGTGTAATAATGCTTACCTATGAAATAAAGATTATTTTGATTTGATTTGATTTGCATGTTGCGCATTGGTTGGATACAGAGGGTCGCGAACGAAACCGTGCTTCAGCGTATTCATGTGTCCCGGAAAATGATGCCATCTATTAAAAGGCGCAAATTAGACTCTTGAATCTTGATCTTGATGAATTAGAATCTTGGTCACGTGATCCGGAAAAACAGATACACGCTGCTACAGCTAATAATGATGGGCAAAGTGCAGGGAAAGAGACGCGCTGGGCGAAGAAAGAAATTGTGGCTGCGGAACATCTGGGAGTGGACCGGCATTGCCTCCGTCGAACAGCCGTGTCGGTTGGCTGCTGACAGAGATGGACACAGCATTGAAAAGGCACTCTAAGAAAACGAAGAAGGATGGTAAATTGCTGAAAAATGAATCAGATTTAGTCGTTTTCACCCACTTTCCGTTAACCGATTTTTAACAAAACTTGACAAATAGATGTAATTCCACAAACTTTTGAGGCCGGTTTTTTTAAATAACTGAGTTATAATTATTTATTCATGTCCGATCTTGGTACTTGTAATTATAATAAACAAGATGACTAATAAAAAAAATAGTGATAGTAAGTAAAAATAGGTAGTTTATAGTTTTGTGATCATTGACTTACAAATAAATGGACGACGGGTCTAATACAAAAACCACGAAAAAAATGTCCCAAGTCAACCTATTCGAAATTTAAATTGTAATGTCATCGCAGTATCGCGCTGTCAGTAGAACAAATGAAGACTAAAGCGGAGTGTCGCGCTCTGTATACGATTTTAGTGCCTTACAAGTGCGGACACTTTTTAGCGCGGACCCGACGTCCATATAATTGTAAGTCAATGTTTGTGATGGTAAAATCTTGAAAAAGGCACGGCCAATGAGCAAATAGAAGTAGAATAATTAGTGTCAATTTCATTAACACGAGTTCATGAAAGCATATTTAAAAATGGTAACTACAACAAGCGCGACTAACGTTAAAACAGTTCGAAATTGCCAAATTGGTCTATTGTGTTTATTTTAACAGGTATTACCAAACAAACGGTGAGCTGAGATAATGAAGTTAAACCGAAAGCGTTGAACGAAACAAATAATCGTTAGAGATAAAAGAAATAAAATTATGTAAAACGCAGACTTTTATTTACGTTCTGAATAAATTACATAAATTATCTATGGCAACGTGAACGCAATCACAACACGAACTCATTAGCTCACGAACATAAATCCATTATAAAGGTTAACCGTCCAAGTGAGAATTGTGTCCTTTTGTAACACGACACTACACTCCAAAGGGCCTCATAAATTGTTGGTTTACCACTGATAATAGGCGGCGGAGGGTTGGTAGTAAGCTGCCGAAGGGGCCTGGTAGTAAGCGGCGGCGGAAGTTTGGTATTGCGGCACTGGGTTGTACAAATAAATAGGGGCGCGGTCCTCATTCTTGTATTGAAGACGGGCTGTGTATGCCATGTTGGCAAGGTCGTTTACGGTCTGGAATTGTACTCGTTGTAACTGCGACCCAGGTAGAAGCACATAGTAAACACCCTGTCCACTTATGACCGCATCGTTTTTAGGTGATTCCTCAAGGTTTTCTTTTTCTTTCTTTCCAGACTTCTCTTTTTTTTCACTCTTTCCATTGCTGTCAGCACTTTCAACTGTTTCAGAGTCGTTGTCTTCTTCCTTTTTGTTGCTTTCTTCGCCATCTTCTTCTCCAGATTTTGGAACTCCATACTCTGTTTGTGGAGCAGAGTATGTGCTCAAAGGAGCGCTGTAACTAGTATCGGGAACTCCATACGCGGTAGAAGGAGGAGTTAGCTCTTGACGTGATGGCAAATTGAACTCCTTCGTGGGTTTAAATCCAGATGCAGGGTACGGAGCATCTCCGCTTTCAGATTTAGCGGATTCTTTATTATCTTCTTCGACTTCTTGTCTCCCAAACCTAAACGTTTGTCTAAAGCGAGGTGGTTCAGCGGCCACCAAAGCCGCCAAGAGAAGCACACACACGAAGGTTTTCATTTTTGGTTGTTGTTTCTTCGACCGACTGGAGACGAATGATGCTGTGACTTTACATCAATCCGCTTATATACACATATACCCTAGACATGAGGCTTTTTCACGTTTCCGTTTTGTCCGGATGTGTCATACGGAGAACATATTCGATATTCTGGCCGAGTGGGCAGTGACATTGGCCTCTTAAAGTGGCGATCATCGGTTGTGTAACGGATGCCGATTAGGAGCTGTCATTGTTCTCGACACGTACGTGACTACACTGCCAGACAAGGTAATGATGTGGTGACGAACTTACGAAAACGCCTAATGAGGAGTTTTAATATTCATGACTCGTGGGGAAATCGCTTTCCTTCACCGACACTAATTGGGGTATTGTGCGGGGATAGGCGTTATTTGACCCATTGTGGGAATAATGGAGCGGGTTGCAATCTCAGTAGTGTGCAGTCTGCTAGACGACCGATAATTAGGTGCGAGCAATCAGAGTTGATGTCATGCGTTATGCATGAAGCAAGGTGCATGTGAGTCGAAACGAGCGACACCAAGGCCCTGATTGCTAACGGACACCAGCCCCCTAAGCATTTTCAATCAAATTAATTTATTTGCAACTCGTTATACCGTTAATAAAGCTACCGCTAAAAACGTTAAATCGAACTAAAAAAAGAGTTCGTCGAGGGAAGTATTGCCACCTTACTAATTTGTGCCGCAAAGCAGTAATGTGAACATTACTGTGTTCTGGTTGTGAAGGGTAAAGGTGCTGGTGAAACTACAGGCACATGGGACATCATCTTTATATCACAGGGTGACAGGTGCAGCAACAGTGCCCCTCAGATATTTGCGCAATGAAGTTCTGGATGGCACAACTACAGTTATAAGTAGGCGTGTCTCTTAGTTCCATCATTTCGACTCATCCGAAGAACAGAATCCAATGTGATTATATAGCGAAAAGAGAATAAGCACGTTACGAGAATAATTTCGTTATTCAAACTAAGGCCTACGTAAAGGTGTCTTGAGAATTTATATATGTTATTTCGTTTCAGAAATATAAAATCGAACAACGGTCGATCTGATATCCACGACGAAAAGGACTTTTTATGCTACGGCAGTTAAAAATCGTACGCTTAAAGTACTTGGCGTGTTCGTGGGCATTTTGTGTGTCTGGCGTGTTATTTTCAAAATGGCTGCTTGACGTTTAATTACTCGGGAAAATGGCACTGTACGCCTGTCGTTTATGCCGTAAATAGACGTTAAAAGATTAACAGGCGTGTTTTTTCTATTTTCACTAGCTCTCGGGGATTTCCTTTACATTTTTTACGAATAACCGACGCCTTTACGTGATGATATTACGGAATAAATAGCCGTCGACCTTTTTTGTTTCGTCGGTTTTAAATTGGAAAACTCTTACGATGAAATCCGATTTGTTTTTTGTTTTGCTCATCTGTAATCCAAACGGCAAATTGAATGTTGCAAACTTTTAGATTTTGGCTTTTGTTTAATGTCAAGGCAATTACTGTGAGAAGCGAGGAGCGCAAAACCGTTCATAGGGGGAGGCCTATGTTCAGTAGTCGACTGAGTGATGACGATAAGAAATCATGTGATATTTCGATTACAACAACGAGTATTAAAATACATAATCAAGTAGCTAAAAATAAAGATTTGATATTTCGCTGTTTGGCGCTAATATTACTATGGTTGTTTTTATGCTAAAGCAACAAACAGTGATGAACATACATAGATCATCCTACGAAATAATAATTATGGTCCATATTTTATATATTGACAATAAAATTCTTTTTACTGATCCATAATACATTTTAAACAAGAAATGATATCGGAATGTTGTTTCAACACATAATAAGAAAACTCAATAAAGCATCACACAAGTCTTTAGAAGTACAATCGTTATCAAAACAATTTCACATTGTTGTACTAATTAAATATAAAATATTCCTATTTGTGATTCCATGGTCAGAATAAGTAAATTTGTAGGCAAATGTTTTGTTCATTGGTAAATTCTCTCAAGCTTTCCTCTCAGGAAATGTTAAAGGACTTATTTAATCCTATCATGAGTTGGATCACGTCGTTCGTGTTTACTGGCGAACCAAGGACTTACTGGATTATTGGCAGTAGCTATAATGTAATCAAAAGATGTTTGACAATGAATTTGGGTTGATCTTTTGAAGGTTTTAGTTTTATGCCACTTGTGAAGAATCCTTATATCGTGAACACTACGGGCTTGCCTTGAGAAATTAAGGCGTTATATAACACTCTTTGTAATACTTTAAGGGTTACGAGAAGAAAGATGATATAGTGGAATCCTTTTCAGACAATTGTTTTTACCAAAATTTGTCACTTGTCGTAGATAAATGTCAATGTGGACAGTTGTACGCTTCTTTTGCACTCGTACATAGGTCAATGTACTCATAGGTAATTAAGCATCCTGCAAGCTGAGGTTTCCGAGCGAGAAGATGAATGATTCCCATTATATATTTCGAATTTGTGAGCTAAATCAGCTATTGTTTAAATTTGACATGTCAAAAGTTGTGAATCGAAAATGTGCGCCTTAGCTCGGAAGAGACGCAGTTTTCGATCGGGGGAGTCAGTAAAAATCAAGCTGCTGATTTCGAGACTCGAATGGGCTGCCCGAACGGGTTCGATACGATTTGAATTAGAATTAGCTTGCTGGACTTTCATTCAAACACATCATTCGATTGCTGAGAGATGTATCAGTCGCCTTTAAAAACAAACATTTTGGTACTGCTCTGACTCAAGGCCGGAACATACTCACACCCGCATAAAGAGTCTTACCGGATAACTATCCGTGATGTTCCTTCAGACCTAATTTTATTACCTCTCAACCTTTTACTGGCAATAGCAGCAGTAGAGCTCCTTGTGAAAGAGTTCGTCCAGGGAAGTACTGCCACCTTACCTATTTCTGCCACCGAGCTGTAATGTTCGCATTACTGCATTCCGGTTGGGAAGGGTAGGGGTGCTGGTGAAATTAAGTGCACGTGGGACTTGTCAAGTTATTTCTCAGGGCGCAGTGGAAGTGATCCTAAAATCTTTGCGATTTAAGATCTTGTCGCTAATCACCAGGCGCACCACTCGTTCGCCCCGTCACTTGGTATATAAAGAAAAAAGTTTCTTGTGAAAGAATTTGTGAAAGGAAGTACAGCCATGTAACATATTTCTGTAGCCAAGCAGCCATGTCAGCATTACTGTATTCTGGCTTTGAAGGGTAACCGCTCACGCGATGCGCTCCTCCTACCGCAAAATGGCGGCTATTTGGTTTCGCAAATTAGAAAAGCATTCAGTTTAAATACAAGTTTTTATAAATAAAAATTATTATTCTGCATTGCTAAATAAATACCCTCCGTACTACCAACAAAAACATCTCAAATAAAATGCAGTAATACACCGCCAATCCTGCACTTAAAAAGCACTAATGAAATTTTTGGTTTACTTGAGTAAATATGATAATATTCCGTTTGAGTGGTTCTAACGTTTACCATGAAATTACTCCTTAAAGTATAATTTATAAACATTTATATTCAGGGTTAACTTAAAAAACGCTACCTACGGTATGTTTTCAATAAATAAACACCGAAATCACCAGCCCAAACAATAACACACACGATTGTCGAGACGTATTTTTGGAGTTGTTTATTTTGTTTTAAATGACAGAGCCAGGCATTAAAAACTTTATGATTTGCTAGAGTAGTTACCGAAATAGCAATTAATATTAGTTTTTTTACCTGTTCTAACTTCGATGTCCGATAAATCGGTATAAAATCATCACCGGCACCTCTAGGTGTGGTATGCGTCTACGGCTGCATGTATCGCGTGAGCGGGTAAAGGTTGCTGGTGAAGATACAGGCTCATGCGACTTGTCGACTTATGTCTCAGTGAACGGTGCTGTGACAATGCTCTTTAGATCTTTGATCTCGTGATTTAAAACTCAGAGATTTACTGCAACTGTAATGGTCAGGCGTATCGCTTACCAGCAGGTGCACGACGTGTTCGTTTCATAAGTTGGTATCATAAAAAAAAAGAAAAAATTATTTCTTAGTTTGGGATCAGATAATTGTTGTCATTGTCTGGCACATTATCATTATTATCATTATCAACATTTTCACTTAATTTTGTTTCAATGAAACGCCTGGCTTTGTTATGTCACAACCTCTCCTATCAATGTTTACTTTTCTCTGCAAAACGCCTGATAGTTTATTCCGACTAGATATGCTGCGCACGTCGAGTTCCCTTGCTATAATAAAAATCGACTGTCTCTTTCACCCGATGACAAAACACATTACCGCTCTTCGTATGGTTTTAATTACGCGTGTTTGTTAGGTGAACCAATTAAAGCGGAATTCGAGTAATTGGTGCTGCATAAGTGCAAGGGGAAAAGATAGATCGTCTCGGGCGTACTTTGTATTATTCTTAAAGTCATGGTAGGTATTTATTTTAACTGCCTCCATTGCGGAACGGTTATCATACTGGACTGCCACGCAATAAGTCTCGGGTTCGATTCCCGAGTCGGGATAAATATTTGTATGGCCTACATTTATTTCTCTCGTGAGTTTGGGCGTCATTTGTGGTTGTCGATGTGTGTGTCGCACCCGCGACACTGGGTTTCCCTAGTGCGGGGCTATGAGTGTGTACGTTATTGTTATTATTTCAACGCGAGCCTAGATTTTAAGAGGTGACGTATGGGCGTTGTTAGATAGAAATAAAACAAAATGTGTATTAACTTTTCACTGTGCAAAAGGAGACAGGTTGATGCATTTGTTTTTCTTGAAACGTTTCGATAAGGTCACGCGCATACGATTGAATTGTTTTTTCCTAACTTTCCGCCACCCAAGGAAGCTTGTAGAACGTAGTGTTTATATAATCAGATCACGCCCTCGGCATGTCTTCGTGAGGTTATTATAAGTATTTGAGGCGAAGGATCTTTAGTTTGTTTAGGATGCTATATACACAATGCGCGTCTTACGACTTTATTTGATCTTGGACTTTAGGAGTT